CTCCCTAATGGTTGTAAGCCGCCCTGAGTCCCCTCAGGGAAAAGGGCGGCCTATAAATTTTAATAAAATACCTAAAAAATACCTTAAAAAAATTACGAGTTTATCACATTTAGCTATTTATTACAAACAGAAGAGAGTACCTGCAGTTCAGGGTTGAGCTTTGGCTTCTGGGTGCTCTCTGAGTGTGGCTATTTTCTTGCAGGTGTTTCATTATCCATAGCAGATAACATCATCAGTGCTACTAGCGAGTGGGTTTTGCTTCATTTTATAGTCTAGTGGCTAGGATATTCTAGGCCTGTGATGGTGAACCTATGGCACACATACCACAGGTGGCACGCGGAGCCATTTCTGAGGGCACGCAAAGTTTTGCCTTGTCAACTCCAGTATGCATGCATGTGCTGGCCAGCTGATTTTCGACCAAATAGGCAACCTGGAAGTCTGCTCCTAAAGTCTGGTTTGTGTGTTGGGTCATTTTTCGCCCTCCCCAGGCTCCTAGAAAACCTCTGGAGCCTGGGGAGGGCAAAAAATGGATCTACTGGGCCCCCGTAAGTTGGAAAACGGTCCATTTCTGGCTTCCAGAGGGCCTCCAGGAGACGGGGGAGCCCATTTTCACCCTCTCCAGTTCCTAGAAAGCCATGCGTGCATGTGTGGGGCAGCAGGGGGGTCACACATGCATGCGCAGGATGGGGGGGTCACACACACATGCTCAGGGGGCACGGTGTGTGGGGGCATTAAATTATGGGGTTGTGCTTTTGGCACCCGAAGCTAAAAAGGTTCACCATCACTGTTCTAGGCTATTAATCCTTCATTCTGCTGGCCCTGGCTAAGATCTAGACCTGAATCAGAGTTCTTCTGTATTGTCCACTAAATGCAGACTGGTAATACTTCAGAAAATGGTTTTGGAGAATATGAACAGATGTTCCAGCCTTCAGCTCACCTCATCTATCCCAAATGTGGCTCATAGTGGTGCTTTCTTGCTTCACTGCAGAAATGCTGTGTTTTGACTTCTGCCACAGTATTTGACGATCCCGACAAATCGTCGAGATCACTTTGCAAAACAACAGAATTATCTGTAGTACTGAATAATTTTATGTCACTGGCAAAAAGGACGCAATTGCTTTTAAGTTGATCATATACATCGTTTACATAGAGCAAGAAAAGTGTGGGACCTGAAATGCTGCCTTGTGGAACACCGCTGTCAACTGATGCAGGGTTAGACAGCGAGTTCCCTATTTTGACTTTCTGCAGTCCATTAGACAGAAAAGCAGCAATCCACTTGTGCAAAGGTCCAGAAATGCTGTAGAGTTTAATTTCAACAGCAGTTTATCATGTACTACTGTATCAAAAACCTTACTTCATACTTAATTGGTTAGTAGAGGTGGCGTGCATAAATGCACTAACGTCCCTGTCGTCCCTGTCATTGTATTTTCATTCTTTTATTCTTGTTCTCATTTTTGTTTGACAAATTCTAATAAATAAAATAAAATAAATTTGCTCTGAGATGAATCTTCCTAAGTTTAAAGGCGGAGAGAGGTTTGACCTGCTCCGAAGGGCCATCTGCAATGGACAACCCTTTTAGTCCTCAACTGCTGGGCTTTTGGCAGGACTCTACTAGTATGGAAAAAAAAGGCATACCAGTTACATTCAGAACTCTACTTCTATTCCTCTTGCCAACTCCTGGAGAAATAAGGGGAGAGAAGAGGAAAACGGACTTCTTCTACTTCCCCGACTTCTCTTGCCAGCATTTTGGGAGGCAAGGATGGAACCAATTAATTGGTGGCCTTCAGCAGCCCATCATTGCTGATGCTCAGACAGAACAGTTTCCAGCATCCAACATCATCCCAAGCCTGAGGCAGGACCTGAAATCCAGATTTTCCAACTGGTAAGGGCAGATTCAGACTGCGGTGCCGAACAGCTCTCAGTCTCCCCACCATTTCAGCCTCTGGGCTTACTGCTGACAATGGAAGGAAACTTTCATATGCACCAAAAGGTTTCCCCTCCCCCACTGCAAACAGCAGATACTCTGATTCAGACCTGTGCAAGTTAGCAACTGCGAAACTAATTTTTACTGTGGATGGTGTGTCCCCTGATTAAAGCCATAGCTGGCAATCTTGTGGAGGCAAACATTAGTGTTTGTTTTGCAAGATATTTTATTTCGAGATCTCCACTTATTTTCCCCCCTGGTCACCTTGATGTGTTTTCTAAAAAGTAACTAAAGTGAGTGGTCCGTTTCTTCACCACACGCAGGGCACCATATAGTGAAAAGCGACACACGCATAACCAACAGTGCAAATACAGGAAGCAGGGAAAAGCCGAAACGAGGAAAGGAAAGGACTTTGGAATAATCTCTAGTACCTTTACCTGCAGGGGGTTCTTTGTGCTTATGGCAATGACGTGATACTTGTAGTAACACAGCTCACAGCTCCAGCATCCCCTCTCGCTGATCCATTTGATCAGGCAAGGTTGATGTGTACATTTCACTGACCCGTCACACCGACATGGACTCAGCAACTCACCCTGGAAAGAGAACATCACATACTGATTAAAATTCTTCACTGAAACGGCTCCCTCCAGGCACTTTTCTTCTTATGGAGGGGGTGGATTAAACAGTCATTGTGAATATGTAAATACAGTATATATTGTATAAATATATAAGCCAGTTTGGTGTAGCGGTTAAAGCACCGGGCTACAACCAGGTTCTAGACCAGAGGTTCGGCCCAGTTTGGCCGAGTAGGTAGTAACTTGGCCTGCTACAACCCCGAACTGGTTCTATTGGCAGTGCTGTAGGTGGTGCCATCTTGTATTTTTACTTCTGTGCATGTGCAGAAGCATTTTTTAATTACTGCGCATGCACATGTAGTGCATGCGTGCCCGAAGCGGGTCCTTGAGCGAACCGGCAGTAGCAGAAGCTGGAACCCACCCCTGTTCTAGACCTGCTATAAACATGAAGTCAGCTTGTTGACTTTTGGCCAGTCACTCCTTCTCAGCCCTAAGAAACAAGCAAGGGAAAACTACTTCGAAAATTCTGTGGAGAAAACTGCAAGGACTTGTCTGGGGTGTCACCCGGAGTCAACACTCACTCAAAGGGACAACAACAAACAGTTTAGATACAATGATGGTGTTTATTTACATAAGGATGGCTATGCTTAAGGGTCTTTTCTCATGCTGAAATGCTACCACTCACCTTTCAATTGGAGGAAACTAGAGCAACTTTAAGTTTGTTAGCCTGCTCGGACTACCTCTGTTCTTCCTCACTCCCAGTCCTGCAATTTCCCTCCAATATAATGAATGACAAAATCTACCAGGTTTAGCCCTCCCCCTCCCTTTGAGGCTGCTGTAGGTCAAAATTTGAATAAGAGAGAAAATACTACTGGGAATGACTTAGACCAGTTTCGCTCCTTGGCTGGGGGAGAAGACATAGGGAAACTCAGGGGTCCATAGCAAGAAATGATATTGCCAAGGCATATTCACTTGAACCTAGCCATGCTGTTTTTTCCTGTGCTGTTTCTCTTCTTTCCTTTTTTATTGAGTCTAACTACACTTGGTTTCTTTTTCCTTGCAAAGCAAGCATGCAAGATGAGGGAGCTGAAATTGAGAGAATCAAGTCCTAACTAGCCATACTTTGAACATTTTCCATGTGATCGCCCAACTGCATAAAGGCAGCAATCAGATTCATAAATCTTAAAAATACCAGGGCTGGAGACTAAAGTGGGAAGAGGAAAAGAATACAAGAAGGAGGAATGGAAAATCACTTCTCTCTTGCTGCCAAGAAATTCCCCATGAAATCAACACCAACAATCTCAATTTGAAGATGCTAAATTAAAAATGGTATAGCAGACTAACTCATAGTTTACAAACTGGATTCTGGCAGCATGCTAAACCCAAACTGAAAAAACAGACACTTCTAAGTTTTAGACTTGTGAAGAATTGAGTATTATCAATCCTTTCATTTTCTTGGAATTTGGAGAATGTGAGGGATATTTATGGGATTCATACAATCAGCTGGGTCAAGTTCCTTAAAAAAAGCTTAGCAATACTTCCCAGATACTTAACAAGCACAGTTGAACTGGGCCTATAGACTCAAACTCAAACTAAAGACTATTAGATATAGAACACAACACAGAAATCTAAGTATTTTTTCCCCCAAATAATAGATTGCTCTCAATTGAGAAAAAGGTGCAGTCCCTTCAAATACCCTTTGTAATCCCCCCCCCCCAGTTTAACACACTTTTGGTTTTGTGTATTGTTTGGCCTTAGAACTGAATGAGTATTCGTTGTTGTGCAGTGGTTAGAGTCCAGTATTGCAGGCTACCTCTGCCCACTGCCAGCAGTTTCATCCTGACTGGCTCAAGATTGACTCAGCCTTCCTTCCTTCTGAAGTCAGAAAAATGAAGAGCCAGACTGTTGGGGGCAATAGATTGAATCTGTAAATCACTTAGAGAGGGCTGTAAAGCACTGTGAAGTGGTATATAAGTCTAAGTGCTATTGCTATTGCTATCTTCTAGAGATCAACACATAGCATATTTGTTTTTTAAAAAATTATATTCTTCTAAAAAGGTTACTGATGATTCTGTTGCTGATCCCAGACATTGGATAGAAAGACCAGAGATCCAAGAATAGTTCATTTCCTTCATTTCCTTCTGCCTCTGATATTATAGACTGTTCAAAAAATAATTACTACCAACCAGCCTTCCATAGAGGACCTGTACACTGCACAGAGTCAAAAAGAGGGCCATGAAAATATTTACAGACCCCTTGCATCCTGGACATAAATTGTTTCAACTGCCACCCTCAAAATGACGCTATAGAACACTGCACACTAAGACAACTAGACACAAGAACAATTTTTTCTCTAACGCCATCAGTCTGTAAACAAATAATTCCCTCACCACTGTCAAACTACTCACTAAGGCTGCATTACTATTACTATCAGTCTTCTCATCGTTCCTATCATCCATCTCCTCCCACTTATGACTGCAGGACTGTAATTTTGTTGCTTACGATTTATACTGATATTGATTGTTTCCTGATTGCTTATTTGTACCCTATGGCTATCATTAAGTGTTGTACCTTATGATTTTTAACGAATGTATCTTGTCTTTTTATGTATTTATGTACACTGAGAGCATATGCACCAAAGACAAATTCCTTATGTGTCCAATTATACTTGGCCAATAAAGAATTCTATTCTATTCTATTCTATTCTATTCTATTCTATTCTATTCTATTCTATTCTATTCT